TGAGGGCCAGCCAGGACATGTAGCCTGGCGCCTGTGCTAGTTCCTGACTTCTTAGAGAGCAATGGAAACTCCCTCTGCCTTTTTTCCTTGGGGGCTCCCCTCCTCCCCACCCGTCCACCAAGCCCCAGCTTTTGCTAAGTTCCAGGTCTGTTGATGTGTTAGGTGACCCTGATCCCTTAAGTCCAGGCCCCTCACTGAGGATGGAGCAGCCCCAAGATGCTAGGCAGTGGGCTACTGTTGGGGCTCATGCTCCTGCACCCCCATCTGGCCTGCAGCAGCCCCCCACCTTGCTAAAGAACCAATCCTCAGCATCCTTGCGGTTCTTCTCTGCCATCTTCTCATACTGGTCGCGCATCTCGGACAGGATCCGGCTCAGGTCCACACCAGGGGCTGCATCCATCTCCACATTGATCTCACCGCCCACCTGGCCTCGCAGGGAGTTCATTTCCTGTGGACAAGGGGGATGTGGGCATGAACATCTGAACCTGTCTCGGCCCCCCCACTCCCAAGTTCCCCACACCCTTCATCTGGGTCTCTCCACGCCCTACTCCTACGGACCCCTCTTCTGCTCTGCCCAGCTGCTTTCCTTAGACCCTCTTAAGGATTTCTGATCCTCTGCTCACCATGGGTCCTGCCTCCCTCAATAGACTGAGAGCTCTCCAAAGAGCTAATTCTTAGGCCTGTGATCCTAAAAATTTCCTCTTCCAACTTCCAAATGGATTTGCAAGGTACAGATTTGTGGGTTTAAAAACTGAGGCAGGATTCCACATCCCCACTCATCTGCTGTCATTGTGAGGGAGGCCCTGGTGGCTCCTGGGAGGTTTTGGATGCAGAGAAGCAGTGTGGTATATGGAGGAGGCTGCCTTCTGGACCATTGGGATCAGGGCTCTGTAGATGGGGCAGCCCTATGCAGTGACTAACCCAGTGAGCCTGCTCTGCTCTCTCCCATTGCCTCAACCGCAGCCCAGCCCCAGGGCCCTGCCACCCACTCCTCAGCCTCTTTGACCTGCTGCCCCTGCCACCTCACCTCCTCGTGGTTCTTCCTGAGGTAGGCCAGCTCCTCCTTAAGATTCTCAATCTGCATCTCCAGGTCAGCCCTGGCCAGGGTCAGCTCGTCCAGCACCCTGCGCAGGCCGTTGATGTCGGCCTCCACACTCAGACGCAGGGCCTGCTCTGTCTCAAACCTGCAATGGCAACCAGGGATTTCAGTGGACTTGGACTTGCAGGACAAGGCCCTGGCCCCTGCCCTGCCTTCATTCTGCCAGGGCTCTAAGGACTTATGAAGTGGAAACAAATTCCAGCCTGGAGCCCTAGAACCATCACAGAACAGGACCCCACTCCACCCCTCTCCCTTGCTTCTCCCCGTCTCTGCCTCCTTCCTCCTCTCCCTCTCCTACCGCCTGCCTAAGCCCAGTGACCCTCAGACCTGGCCACATTTCTCATTCTGAACTAAGGGGGTGGGCTCTTGGCCCCTAGGACTGCCCCACCCGAGTTTCGACCTAGCCACAAGCAACAGGGGAGTCCTGGAGTGAGGACGGGGTGCCCCCTGCTCTCCCCCGGCCAGTCACCTGAAAGGGACTTACTTGGTACGGAAGTCATCAGCAGCCAGACGGGCATTGTCAATCTGCAGCAGGATGTTGGCATTGTCCACAGTGGCTGTGAGGATCTGGGGAGTTGGGAAAGCAACCAGGTCAGCTTAGCTCCAGATTCCGAGCAGGCCTCCCTGCCTGGGGGCCAGGACCAGCTGCCTTTTCAGGAACCCCATCTTCCCACCAGCCTCTCCCATATACTGTGCCATCATTGTTGGCAGAAGCGGGCAAGAGGGATTCTCATGAGCCAAAACTTGCCTCCCCTACCCCTATCTATCCCTAACCCCCCTGCAGGGCTCGCCCTCAAAGCAGAGGAGGTAGCCGGCTGGGAAGGTGGCAGCTCCAGAGGAGAATGGGAGAATGTCTTCAGCCCAGACATTCAGCTCCTCCAGAATTCCAGAAAGTGAAGAGGGAGTGTGACCAATCCCCTGCTGACAGCTAGCCAGATGGTGCCCCTGAGGGTCTCCCCCTAAAGATTGCTAGAGGAACCCTCTCCAACAGTAATTTCAAATCAGAAATTACAACCCCTGGGAAGTGCTAACCTGGGGCTCCATCATTCAGTCCCACTCCCTGGGGTTTGCAGAGCCCCAATCTTGAGGGACAGAGAAATCCCTAAACAAGGCCCATGAGAGACCACCCCTATGCTGAGCTCTACCTCTGCCCTCCTGCCTCTCCTCCTAGCAGGTACCATCAGGAGCTGGCTCAGACCCCCATCCCACTACTCCAGGTCCTGCCGGCCTCTGCTCTAAAGGAGAGATGCCCATGTGTCCAGATGCCCCGCCTGGGACCAGGCCTCCACGTGCATCCTCGAGAACTATCCCGCAACCACACGAGGAGACAAGACACTGCCTGAGGGGAAGATCGATGCTCCAAGGAGCCTCACAAGGCCTGCTTCTCTGTGGCCCAGGATGCTGCCCCAGGAAAGGGCAATGTGGGCCACGTAGGGTCTCCACGACAGGCTCTGGACGCCAGGCCCTAGATTTCCTGCAACCCTGTGGCAGCCCAGACTAGACTCCAGGCCTTCTCTATAGGACATGGGAGAAGTCATGCTCCCAGGGGCCCCTCCTGTCAGCAGGCCCTACCTTGTTCTTCAGATCTTCGATGATGTGGTAGTAATGGCTGTAGTCGGGGGCGGGCCCAGGGGCCTGCTTCTTGTACCAGTCTCGGATCTTCACCTCCAGCTCGGTGTTGGCCTCCTCCAGGGCCCGCACCTTGTCCAGGTAGGAGGCCAGGCGGTCATTGAGGTTCTGCATGGTGGCTTTCTCACCTCCGGCCAGCAGCCCATCAACGCCCCCAAAGCTGCCTCCATAGCTGCTGCCAGAGCCGAAGCTGTAGCAGCTAGAGTAGTTGGCACCCCCCAGGGCACTGCCCAGGCCACTAGCTGACCCCAGCCTGCAGGAGCCGCCACCCAGGCTGCCAGACAGTCGGCAGGAGGCGCGGGATGAGCCGCCCCCCAGGCCAGAGGAGCCCTTGATGGAGCTGGAGGAGGTGAACTGGCGGATGGTGGTCGTCATGGTGGCAGCGGGTGGCGGGCACAGAACGAGAGGGCTCAGGAGGTAGCGAGGCGCCAAGGTGCGTGTTACTGCTGGGGCTCGCCGCTTCCTTTATAGGCCGGCAAGTGGGCGTAGCGATTACAACAGGCTCGCTGCTCTGTTTCCATTCCCCTGGGCTTTCATCACCCTTGGCTACCTGCCAGCTCCCAGGTGGCTGTGGGCCCCCCTCCCCTCCCAACATCAGGGCTTTGCCTCATTTCTCCAAACCCCCGCGCTGGGCGTCTGCATGTGCATGTGTGTGTCTCTGGTCTCAGGTCCGTCACCTGTGAATCAGGCTGGCCCTCCAGCTATGCTTTCCCATGACCTAATACGGAGAAGAGGAGAAGGCAGGACGTCACCGTCACAGGCCTTCCCAGGCAGCTGCCACCTCAGCAAAGGCTTCCTGGACGCTGGGTCCGATGGAGAAATGGGATGGCCCCCGCCCCCACCAGGTTGCTTTCCTTTGCCACACATGGCAGTCCCAAGGCTGGGTGCTAGGGAGACAAAAAGGATGGAGCACCCGTCCTGCCTTAGAATCTGGACTTGAACCCCCCAGCCCCCAACAACACAGGAACCCCCTGAGCCTCAGGTTACTAGTCCAGGTCCCAGCTGAGGAAACTAGGGCTTAGCAAGGGAGCCAAGGTCCACCCTGCCCACCTCACACCAGCCTGGGCTGGCGGGGCTCCTCTTAACCCTTCACCAAGCCACTATGCCCATTCTCCCAAGGACTCCCCTTCTGTGACGCCCTGACACCTAGGGATGCACTTCTGGGGCAAAGGTTCCTTCTGGTCAGTTTTCTGGCCTGACCCCATCCCTGGGTCATTGGAACCCAGCCTTCTCTTCTAAATCTTCCCTTTCCTTCCCCCTACAGGTGACGTCCAGGGCTGAGGTATGCAAAGCAGAGCTTAGCTACAGGATGGGGAAATGGGGGCTGTGGGAGGAGTGGGGTGGTAGGAGGGTATCTGTGAGTGGTGTGTTCATTTCCACCCTCCTGACCCCTTCTGTGCCCCAAGAGACCTAAGGGAAGGATGAGGGGCCCTTATCCCACAGCCAAACAGAAACCTAACGGACATGGCTCCAAAAAAGACTCCTCCCTGGAGCCCTTCCTCTCCAGACTCCCCAAGATGTGACTTCCCAGGGCGGCCATGTGCCCTGCCCCACAGCTCCACCCTGCCCTGCCCACCATCCCAAGCCCAGCCCTGGGTCCCAGGGTCCCGACAGGCCCGCTGGGCGGAATGTGGTCGTGTTTCAGGCTGCCAATGTGTTCCACCTCCCAGACAGGCCCAGGCAGCCCCCAGACAGCAGCTGAGAACGTTTCCCCAATAGCCCAGCCGCTGCCAAGCCACCAAAGCAAACAGGACGCCCCCCACGCTCACATGTACAGTGGCCACCCCGCCCCCCACACACCCCCAGCTGAGCCAGGCAGAGCCGGTCTGGTTTCCTGGGCAGGCTGGGCAGCTGCCACCCCCTCTCATCCATCAGTAGTGCTCTGGACCACTCCTCTGGAAAGCCCCCTGCCCAGCCCCTGTCCTTCTGCCCTTGAACCACCCCGCCCCCCCGCCCGGGCCTGATGCAAGGAGCATTCTTTAATTGCAGGGTTCCCCAGAAAGTCTGTGGGGCCCTCCCAGAGACCAGCCACAGAACACAGGGACCCAGAGGCTGATTCTTGGAAACTTCCCGGGCCTAGCGGGCCATCCCAGGCCTCCACCCTCGACACTTCCGCCTCCTCCCCTCTCATCTTCCCAGGAGCCCCAGGCATGAATGGAGTGGGCAGGACAGGTGGGCAGATGACAAGCGATACCAGACGCTCAGTGAACTCTCCTCCCCCAAAATCCCTCAGCCCACGCTGCCCAAGCCAATGACCAGACCAGATCACAAGTTGAAGGGCTGAACTTCAGCAAAGCTTTAATTGCAGTCACGAGGCAAACTCAGGAGGCCCCTGATTGGGGGGGCTGCAGGAAGCCGATACAGAAAGGCTGAGCAGCTCATGGGGTGGGGCCCAGGCAGGCGCTTGGGGCCTGGCAGCAGCGTGCTGGGAGCTGGAGGCGATGGCTGCCCCTTGGCCTTCAATATGCTGAAAGGGGCTTCAGTGAGTGGAGCGGTGGACCTGCTCGCGGGAGGAGACCACCTTGCCATCCTGGACTTCCTCCACGATGGTGCGCACCTGGCGGCTTGTCACCGTGGCTGCAGGTGGTGGAGGACGGGGCACAGGAGCCTCAGGCGGGAGACCCTACCCACACCAGCCACCCCATCTGCGGCTCCCCCAGTCTCCCACACAGAAAGATCCTCAGCCTCTCCCCTCCCGCTGGGTCTGCGCTGCCCCTCCCTTGGGCAGGATGGGGCAAGCTCTTACCTTCGCGGGAGGGCTGCGAGGCCAGGGACGAGGAATACTGAGAGGCCAGGCTGCAAGGAGAAGGGGACGGGTCAGCCCAAGGGTGCTGGCTGGCCAGAGGGCCCCTGGGAGCATACTGGGGAGGATCTGCAGCAAGGGAAGCCAAGGAGGAGGGGAGAGAGTTCCCTACAATCTGGGAACTCACAGCTGGGAGCGCAGAGTGCACAGGCGGGAGGATGAAGCCTCACAGTGCACAGCAGCAGGAAGAAAAAGGGACAGCCTCGAGGCACTTTGTGGCTACTTTGTGACCACTAACCCAGAATTTACAAGGAGGAGCTGAGCAAGTGGTTTGTCCATATCCTGAAGGGCCCAGCAAATAGACTCAGGAGAGACTGTGGTTAGACTACAGATGGACTCCACCACTGTCAGGAAGCAAAGGGCTAGAACATGTGACTCAGCGTGGAGACTCACCAGGTGGCCAGCCCTTCACAGCAGGGTCTCCATCAACATTCCCAACTCCAAACCAGAGGCTCACCCGCCCTGCTCCTAGGCTTGTCTTGGCTGATAGCGTCACCAGCCACACAGTCGACCAGACCAGAAACTCAGGGCCATCACTACCCACTTCCTCACGTGCTCACTTGACGTTCACTGAGCACTGACTGAGGCACGTGGGCCCCATGCCCGGGTGTCCAGCCCTGCCTCTCTCCTGCCCCTTCTCCCACACACAGCAGGACTCCTTTGGCCTGACTCTCTCTCCTGACTGATCTCTCCAGCCCACCCTAACCCCTCTGATCCATTTCTCCCTCTTCAGCCCAAGTGAATGTTCTAAAAGATCTAGAAGGTCGTGCCCTCCTGCGCTCCAAATCCCTCCATGGCTCCCAACTGCCTACACAATCCACTCCAGATGCTGTCCTCTGGAAGTCGGAGCCTCCTCATGGTCAGGCCCCGGTGGGGTGCTCCGTCTCACTCCCTGGGCAGAGTCGCCTCCAGCCCACCCCAGCAGGTGTCGGGCACCCCCACTCACTGGGAGTCCTCGCCCTCCAGCAGGCGGCGGTAGGTGGCGATCTCCTGCTCCAGCCGCGTCTTCACGTCCAGCAGCACCTGGTACTCGTGGTTCTGGCGCTCCATGTCGCAGCGCAGTTCGCAAAGCTGCTGCTCGATGCTGCTGATGAGCCCCTGCAGCTGGGCCAGCTGGGCCCCGTAGCGCGCCTCGGTCTCCGCCAGGCTGTTCTCCAGGGATGCTTTCTGTGGCCCGAGAGGCAGGGGTCACGGTGACCATGAGCTGCGACCCTTTCCTGAGGCGGGGCACCCCACAGGGGTCCCCCCCCGGGTGGGGCTGTGGGTGCAACCAGCACAGTGGGGCTGTAGCTGGGCAGAGACCCACGCCATGGAGTGCCAGTGAAGGCTGGGCAGGGAGCCCCGGCCCTCTGAGCAGGAGTCTACAAGGTGGGGCCACCCTGGGCGGGAAGGGCCCAGGCCTACCATGCTGATCTGCGACTGCAGCTCAATCTCCAGGTTCTGCACCGAGCGGCGGAGCTCTGTGATCTCGGTCCTGCTGCTCTGCAGGGCCTCGGTGTTGGTGGCCACCTCGCGGTTCAGCTCCTCCGTCTGGAAGGCAGGTGGGCCGCAGGGGCTTGAGCAGACGTTAGAGGGGGATGGGGCGGCCCCTACCCTCTCTCCCAGATCGCCCCCCAGCATCTTCCTGGCCTCTCTGGGGCCCCAAAGGCATCTGTCCCCAGAGACCCTCTATGCCTACATGGAACTGGACAGACATTCGCTCGGTTATCCCCAACTGACCAGGAGGACCTCAAAAACAGGGATCAGGCTTTATTTTTTGTATGTCTGTTAATGTCCCTGGCACCCTATAGATGCTCAGTGTGTGTTTACCCCGGGTGTGAGTTATGGATCCCAAAACACATCCTGCAACACCTGTGGTGGGAGGAGCCCTGGCCAGGGCTGTGGAGACCTGGACCTGTTCCCCAGGCCACCACGGAGGGCTCAAGCTGAAGCCTCTCCCGACTCTCGGTTCACATTTAAGCATGAGGGCTGGTCCAATTGGTTTCCAAAGGTCCTTCCAACTGGGACAGCCTGCGGATCTGCGAGGGCTCCAGCACACAACAGCACTGGCACATGTGCCCACACGTGAAGCACACCTGCTCCCACACGGCCACCCACCTTGGTGAAGAACCAGTCCTCGGCATCCTTGCGGTTCTTCTCGGCCATCTTCTCATACTGGTCACGCATCTCATTCAGGATGCGGCTCAGGTCCACGCCCGGGGCTGCGTCCATCTCCACGCTGACGTCCCCGCCCACCTGGCCACGAAGGGCATTCATTTCCTGGGCAGAGAAAACAGCAGGAGCTCACCCAAGGCCATCCTAAGGAGAGACCCCAGGACCTCAGAGAGGCATGCGCTGATGACAGACAGACCAACGGCTCCTCATCCTGACGGCCCCAGGCGGATGTCAAGTCTCAAATGCACAGAGCTAGGGATACAACAATGTCCCCAACACACACTGAGACGCTGAAGGGAGATTCCACCCATCCCCAGCATGTGGGGGGGCAGGAGAGAGACAGCAACTCCCAGCATGCAGAGGAAGAGCCAAGGCAATCTCATTGGCCACACTGACGTCTGCGCAGTCCCCACTACCACCCCAGAGCACGGGAACAGGACCAGCCCTGTGCTGGTGTCAGCAGGAGCCAGGCCTCACTGAAGCAACTGCACGAGGGAAACACTTTCTGTATGTCCTACTGTGTGAGAATCAGGCACCCCCTACAGCCACAAGAAGGGGATCGAAGACCACTTGTGTCCCTGAGAGAACACTCCATTCTTGGACTAAGCCTTTGGGTACCTAAAACCTAGAGTTCTCTGGAAAAAGGAGGCAGGAGAGATGGCGCAGAGGTGGAGTCAGACCTGAGTGTAGATCTGGTCAGACAGACCTGGGGTGAGGTCCCTGTGCAGACTTGGCTAAATTCCTTAACCTCTCTGAGCCTCAGTTTCTTTACTGGCAGAAAGAAGGAAAGAGTATCTTTCTCCCAGCAATGTTGTCAATATCAGCTGCATTAATTGCTGTGAATCACCTGTAATATGCTGGGCAAAGGCTTCTTGTTGTTAGGACTATCACTATTATAATTAATTATAATAATTAGCATTGTGTGTTAGACTGATTTACTCATTAGTGAGTTAACTGCCACGAAGCAGTGAGCCAAGCCTCAAGGAGCAAGGGAAGAGTCTTTGGAGGATGGGCCCCTCCAGGCCTCCCCCAGGGCCCTCTAAGCTAGGGAGTCAGGGTCAGGGCTAGGAACTGGACTGAGTTCACGGCCCCACCTGGGGAGATTCTGCAGCCCAGGCCTGCTTGCTCTCTCCCAGGAGGGCCTTTCCTGGGTTCTGTGACCAGGCCTCACCTCCTCGTGGTTCTTCTTGAGGTAGGCCAGCTCCTCCTTCAGGCTCTCGATCTGCATCTCCAGGTCAGCCCTGGCCAGGGTCAGCTCGTCCAGCACCCTGCGCAGGCCGTTGATGTCGGCCTCCACGCTCATGCGCAGGTTCAGCTCCGTCTCGTACCTGGAAGGGTTAGAGGTCTGAGCCACAGGGTGCCACCAGGACTCCCCAGTCAACACACAGGGCACTCGTGATGTGCAGAGCTGGGAACCCACCACCAGCCCCCGGCGCAGCCTGGGAGCCCAGACTCACTTAGTGCGGAAGTCATCAGCGGCCAGACGGGCATTGTCAATCTGGAGCACCAAGCTGGCATTGTCGATGGTAGCTGCCAGGATCTGGAAGAGGTGATGGGTTCCCTGAGCATACTCCCTAGGCAGCCCCGAGGCCTGGCCACACCCCTCTTGCAGCCTTTAGGGAATGCGCTAGAATGAGGGTGATGAGGGTCCCTGTGGTGTCCTCCTCTGAGCACCCTGATGTGAATTCCAAGAGCCTCGGAGCAGTGGGGACACCATGCCCAGGCACAGGTAAGCAGGGACACCAGGACAAAGATGCTTATGCACCCCTCCCCCATCACTGTCACCCTCTCCAGGAAGCCCTCCCACATGCCCCATCTGGACCCCTGCCCCAGGCCCCCTCCCTCCCACTCTCCAGGTGGCAGTCTGGTTTCCAAGACTTTTCGGGTTATTTCCTCCTCCCCTAGAATCTGAGTTCCAGGGGAGCCAGACAAGGCCATATCCGCCTCATTCCTTTTGGAATCCTAAGGACTGGGCACAGCGCCTGGCCCAGAGTCAGCCCCCAGGGTTCGATTGTCTAATTAAATGATGGATTCATTCACTGATTGATGAGGTTATGACAGCTCCCACCTCTAACCCAGAGCAAAGCTGTTTGGTTTGGTTTGGTTGGTCTTTGCAAGGCCTGCTGGGCAGTTGAATGAGCATGAGGAGGAGCAGAGGGCTGGATATCATCACTGCTGCTGTCACTGGGATCCTTGGACACATGCAAGAAAAGCCCCGATGGAGAACCCCGGGGGTGCAGAGGGAAGAGCTTGCAGGTGGCACTTAAGCTGGGTAGATCTTGGACTGGGACAAAAAGACCCAAAGGCTGAGGGTGTGGGAGGGACAATCCCCAGCCAGGCCATCCCTGCATCAAGGGTCACACCAGCTCCCCTCTCAGGCCTCACTCGAGGCCCTGAGTTCTGGGAAGTGACCCTGGAGCCGCTGAGCCTGAAGACCAATTTGTTCCCCTCTCCGGGCCTCAGTGGGCCCCTCTATAGCCGACATCTATCAGAGCTCAGTTCCTACCCACCTCAGTGCCCAGGAGGCCGGCTGGAACAGGGAGGGTCCACTGTGAACACTTCAGAGGGACCGAGTCTGGTGCCGGGTGCGCCGGGGGCTGACGGTGAGGTGCTGGCTAACCCCGTAGCTCAGAGCACTGACTCACCAGGGTTCCCCAACTCCCCAACCAAACTGGTATCTGATCTGGCACTGCCAGTGCCTCCGCTTCCAAGGCGAAATGGCAGGAATTCCCTGCCTGGTGGAGGTCCCGGGCAGGAGCAGACAGAGCCCCTCACAGGGCAGCCTCAGGCCTGGCTCTCCACCCAGCAGTCTGGGCAGGCCTCAACGCCCAGGCCCAGCCAGGCCCAGCATGCCCTGCTGCCCCCTCAACCCCCACTAGGACCACAGCTTGGCGGACACTCTCAGAATAAGTTAGTACCAAAGACCAGAATGATCACGTTTACAGACCGCGACAGCCATGTCCTTAGAGGGCATGAGGGCATGTATGAGTGCAGGGGAAGGTGGCGGGGGTTGGGGTGGGGGGGTCTCCTCCATTAGACTAGCTTCAGACTGAGTGGGAAAATGCAGCTTCTGACCCCAGGGGCCCCTCAGTCTGCCAGGAGAAACATGGTCCTTGCCCTCGGAGAACTCAAGAGACCATCACAGAGAGTAGGGAAGACCCACACCTAAAGCACACAGACTGAACCTCAGAATGTTAAAGAGACTCGAAGACCTGGGGACAGAGGCAAGTGACATCCATCCAGAAGGGCTGCCTGAAGGAGGTATGGCAGGCAGGAGGGCAGCCTCAGAGGGGCAAGGGATAGCAAAGACACTCCAGCCTCCTGTTCCAAAAGCCACACAAATCCTTCCCAGTCCTCTGCCTTTGCCAAGCTGTTCTCTACACCAGGAACGCCATCTCTGCCTTCAAGGTTCTGAAGACTTCCCCATCTCTCCTCCATCACCCACCCCGAATGTGCTCTCTCTCTAGGGAGGGAGGTGTTCTACTCTGTCCCCCTGGAGAGCGCCCAGTGACCTCACAGCACAAGGTGTCCTCCAGGTGCAGGACTCAGACTGGCCAGGGCTGGGTTCAGAGAAAGGGAGGGAGGGAGAGGGAGGGATGGGAGTCTAGATCCTTGTTTGCAAAGATCTGCAGTTGGATGGGGTGAGTCCAAAGCAGGAATGCAGGGCAGAGGACAGAGGGCAGAGAGCAGGCTCCCACCTTGCTGCGCAGGTCCTCGATGGTCTTGAAGTAGTGGCTGTAGTCTGGGGCAGGCCCGGGGCCCTGCTTCTTGTACCATTCACGGATCTTCATCTCCAGGTCGGCGTTGGCCTCCTCCAAGGTGTGCACCTTGTCCAGGTAGGAGGCCAGGCGGTCGTTGAGGTTCTGCATGGTCTCCTTCTCACCGCCCCCCAGCAGGGCATCCGACACCCCAAAGCTGGAGCCAAAGCCCCCACCCAGGTTGCAGGTGTAGCCACCACCATAGCCACCCCCGAAACCCGACGAGAAGCGGGACGAGGTGACGGACATGTTGCCGAAGCTGCCGCCTCCCAGGAGGCTGGGGGCCCGACAGGCACCCCCGACGCGGACGGAGGACATCCGGGAGAAACCCCCGCTGGGCACGCACAGGCCCTTGACAGAGCCAGAGGATGAGAACTGGCGGATGCTGGTGGTGGTGGCAGCCATGGTATCCACAGGTCAGGCACGGGGTCTGGTCTGGACAGAGACCCTGGGCCACTCTTTATAGCCAAACTGAAGGGAGGCTGGGCCCCTGGCCCTTGAAGTCCAAGCCAAAACCCCAGCCATATAATTTTCCTCTGTACCAGCCGCCCAGGGCCTGGGGCTCAGGCTGGACATGCCAAATGCTTCCCCTAGGCCCCTTCCTGTGCCCAGGCCCAGCCTGGGCAAGATGGCCTCTTAGCAGTTCATTGTTCAGAAACAAAGGTGGTGTTGGAGCCTCAGCCCCGGGGTAGGGTGATCCTCCATCTTCAGCGGCAATTAGGAGGCTGAGCTCATTCTTGGGGGGAGTCCGGAGAACCCAGCCCTGGGAGCAGAAGGGCCTGGAACAAGGCTGCACAGGCCTGGGAGCCAGAGGGCTGGTCTGACCCCCCACTGAGCATGCCAGGGCCTCGGGGGAGAAGGTGGAGAGATTTGGAGCCCAACCTCCTCCCCCAGGTGTAGTGTGGCCCCCACAGTCCCTGCATCTGAGTGGGGAGGATGACTTGAGGGAACCCCCAGCTCCTTTAGGACTATTCTAGTCTGCAAGAGGAGACGTCGCCCCAGGCCTGGGGGATTCCTGAGTCAGGGGAACAGACATGGTCACCAACCCGAGGGAGCTTGGGATCCAATTCTATCAGGAAGCCAGGGTGGAAGCCGAGTTTCCTCACTTGTAAAAGGAGATCATTCTGTCTCCCAAGGCTTTGGGGGGAATCTGGAGGGACAGTGACATCAGTCAAGCTCTGTCAACACTGTAGGCAGGGGTGGGGGCCAAGGGGACGGGGCCTGAGGTCACGGTAAAGGTGACCTCCCAGCTCACCCTCCACAGCTCTCAGCCCTGCGCCTGAGCCCATCCAGAGGGAATCCCGGAGGAGGTACCCGGGGAGTGGGAGGAAGCAGGCTTATGGCCAGGGTGGCCCTCAGTGGACATCCTGCCCCAGTGAAGAACCATGTCCCTGTCCCAGCAGCCAGCAGGATCACATAGACTGGCAGCCAGCACCCACTCCACCCAACAGAGATTAGCAGCCTAATCACAGCGGCACTAGTGATTTAGGCGCTGCCAGGACACTGGCGTCTGCGCTGGGCCTGTTTGAATGTGGAGCCTCAGGGGGCAGCCAGGGCCTGAGGGACAAGGTGCATGGGTGGCCTGGGCTGTCTGCCCACAACTGGAGTCAGGGAGGGAGGGAGTTTTCTCTGTGACCCAGGGTTCCTGTGATGAGGCTAGACTGCTAGAAAGACTTCCTGCTTAGAAGGGGGTGGGGAGAATATTAAAAATGTTAAGATGAAGAAAAAGAGGGTTCTCTCTCACAGGATGGGTCCCCTCATTTGTCCAGTGCCAGGGTGGGATTGGCAAGGCCATCTGGGAGAGGGGCAGAGCCCTGACTTCATCCTGCTCCCACCGTGCCTGTGAAGGGTATGGCAGGAGGAAGCTCAAAGCCAAGACTAGAGAGCAACTCCAGACCACCCCAAGGTTAGACATCGAGAAGAACTTCCTGGCAATCTAGATTGTCTTGGGGGACAGAAGAGACCCTGAAGAACTTAGATTCACCTGAGGGGGACAGAGGCAGGTCCTGCACCAGCCGACCACCTCCCAGGGGAGGACACAAGTGAAGGCCCTTCTTCTTCCTCTGCCAGAGCCACACTCCCAAGAGCCCTCTGCCCCAGGAGCTGACTGGCCTCCCCCAGGTGGGCCTCATTCTGGGCTGGGGGAAGGACTGCCTTGCCTTTCAGCACTAACCTTGGAGCAAGCCAGGGCCTGGGGAGGCAGCCAGGCTGCTGTGACCCTCCCTCTACACCTCTCCCTGCAGCCCAAGTGCCCAGCCTCCCTGCTTCTCCGTGGCCTCCCCTCCCTGGTGCCTCCTCTGGGCATCCCTCTGGACTGAGTCTCCTCAGGAGCAGGGCAATGAGCCACAGGTGTGGCCCCAGGCCCCCGCCCCCCTGCACCCCCGCCTCCGGTTTTGCCCAGTTGACTGATGAACTTTCCAGCTCCCCATCTTCTACTTTCAGGGACTGCAGACCTTGACCTTGAGGCCCAGTTTCAAGGAGATTCTGTTAATTCTCCAAAATCACAGAGTCCTCTTACCCCACTACCACTATTTAGCCCCCACAAGGCCCCTCGCCTCTGTCATCAGGCTTCTCCCTCTCTGGGCCTCGGTTTCCCCATTTCTCAGTTTCTCCCCCGGGAGTCAGTGACTCCCAGGCCCCTTTGGAGACTGCACCACCAGAGAAGCCCCTCTGACACCCACCCCAGAGAGGCCTCACGGGCCGAAGGACAGGCCCTCTCAGCCTCCCGCCCCAATGAGAAGCCGGAGTTAAGACCACAGCACGGAGATGCCAGGGGGACCCGAGGGAGCCTCCCGACCCTCTGCGGCCATCCCTGGGCAGGGCTAAGAAGACCTGGACATTTCTCCTCGGGCCTCACAACCATGCAGTGAGGAAACCGACGGGCAGAGTGCTTGAGCGGCGGCCATCCAGGTGGCCAGCATTAGCGTCAGGGCCAGGCCTGGAAGCAGCGCCTCGAGCAGCCTCCACTCTCCCTGCCCAGCGAGGAAGGCCTGGCAGGACCTGGCCAAGGACCCCGCAGTGCACCTCTGGGCTGTGAGCCTTCCTGCCTGGGCCTGCCCTCCGCCTCCAGCAGGGAGAGGCCCCTGACCACCCCCACAGCTGTCAGCAGCTTGGCTCATGTGGAAGACCAAGAGGAAGAGGAAGAAGCCGTCCAAAGGGCTCCTCCACACCACCCCCAGAGGTACCTGGAATCAAGCACAGGTGGGAGACAGAAGCGAGAGGAGGGCCCAGGAAGATGGGAGAGCCCTGCCAATCAAGCCTAGGCTCTGCCCCCACCTAGGTCCTCTGCCTCCTCTCCAGAGACTGCTGGAAAGCCACCAGGCTCCAGACGAGGCAGGGACAGATCCACCCTGGGATTTGAGCAGGACCAAGGAGCTGGAGAGGCAGCACATGGATGCTCACCCCTTACACTGGTGGAAGAAGGAGGGTAAAGAATGATGTGGAGGCCCTGTATACAATGGGTGTTCAATAGATGCAAACATCTGCCACATCTGCCCGGCTGACCTTGGCTCCTGTAGGTCCCCCAAACATTAAAAGTCCCTAGCCTAGCGGTGGCACACACCGCTGGTAATCCCAGCCACTCAGGAAGCTGAGGCAGGAGCATTACCAGTTCAAAGCCAGCCTCAGCAATTTAGCGAGGCCCGTCTGAAAATTTTAAAAGGGCCGAAATGTGGCTCAGTGGCTCAGTCAGTGGTTAAGTACCCCTGGGTTCAATCCCCGGTACCAAAAAAAAAAAAAAAAACAGTCAATTCCTGCAATGGTGCCCACCCTACAGCCAAAGCAGGGCTTGTATTCAGCAGGTGCTCTGTAAGTGCTTATTGAATTGTTAGGGTCATGGAGCCCAAGTGGTGACCATGGGACAATCACAGTGCCCAGGAAGGGAACATAGATACCTTCCTTCCCCACAAGGAAAAGTGTGTATCAGGTAGTTGGGGAAGTAAACTCCAGAGCCCAAGGTGGGCTCCCAACCGGACGAGGACAGGACTCCATAGGCCCTCACTCTGCCCCCAGGCCCTGCATCGAGGGCTCCGAGGGCTCCGTTGACTCCACAGCCACTGAGTCCCTCTCACCTGCAGGCACCCTGACTGGGGCAGGATGGGCAGGGCCTGCCAGGAACCCACAGGTCCCTACCCTCACCTCACCCCCCACACACAAGCAGTCCCTACCCCTGGACAGGCATCCCCTGGCCAGAGCGCAGCCTCCCCAGCCACTCCTGCCCACCCCGCCCTCAAGAGGAATCCTCCTCTTCCTCTATACAGTTTCCTGGCCTCTGTCCCGAGGCCCCAGCATCCCGCCCAGATCCACCCACTAATGATCTGTGTCTGGCTCCAAGGAGGCCTCGCCCTGCACCTCCCCGGTGCCCTCCAGATGCGCAGTCACTGCAGCTCCACAGCCTCCCGCACACGCCAGGGGCTCCCCCGCCAGGAGCAGACTCAGCCCCTCTTCCCTGCTGTCCCACCCAGCCACCACCCTCTGACAGGTTTCCAGGAACCCTGACTGGGGTGGCCCCAAGACAGCACAGACAGCCTGTGACACCTGCCCTTCCAGGCAGAGCCATCTCAGCTGCCCAAGAAAATGACCCAAAGGTCAGGAGGCTCCAGAGGAGGTCCCGGGCAGGAGCGAGGGCTGGGAACCAGGGGGGAGGAAGACCCAGGCCTCAGGGAGTCGAGTGGGGAAATCCGCCTCTGCCCACGGGCTGAAGGACCCCAGTGTGCCCAGACCACCTCTGCCCCGCCAGGCCTCATCCCCTCTGTCCCTCCGTGTTCCCCTCTGCCTCCCCGTCCCTCCCCCTTCCTACCTCCCCTCTCCCGCTTCCTTCCTGAGGAGTTTTTTGTTAAGGTAAAAGGGCAGCAGCCCGGGCAGTTTCGCCTCTCAGGTCTGGGGCTCACACCCCCTGCCCACCTGGCCCTGCAGACTGGCGGAGGGGCCCTGGGACACTGAGGGCCCAGGCCCCGCCCTTGCAGCCCACCTGCCCCCTCTGCTCTTCTCCGGGAGCCCTGCGCAGGCTGGCTGTTCCCTCCAGATTCACACTGACTTACACCTGTGACTTAATGGTGCTCTCCTTGTGTGGCCTCCTCCAGGAGAGGTGTGACCAGCCTCCTGGAAAGGGAGGCCATCTCTCCCCTCAGCTTAGATACCTCCTCCGAGTAGCAATCGAGGGTCTCCCCTGGGTGGGGAACAGTCTTGGAGTGGGAGTTGATGCTCCCAGGTGAGCTTCTGAGCAAACCTCTCTCCTTCCCTCACCTCACACAACCTGCAGGAAGCAGGGTCTCTGGGCTCCTTGTCCTGGTACTGATCACCCAGCCCACCACACTGGGACCCGCTGGCCCAACAGACAGGGGGGAAGCAGAGGACCTGCGAGGAGGACAGTAGGAAGACTGGGGAGTGGGGACCAGGGGAGAAAGACCAGGGGAAGGGGATCTGAGCAGGAGGATCAGGGGAAGTGGATCAGAGGAGGACGCAGGGAGGAAGAAGCAGAAGAAGTCCAGGGGAGGGAGGGGCAGGGACATCAGAGGAAGAGGATCAGGCAGAAGGATCAGGAGAGGTTGTCCCTTTTTTTTTTTTTTTGGTACCAGTATGGAACCCAGGGGCACTTAACCACTGAGCCACATCTGTAGTCCATTTTATTATTTTTTTTGGGGGGGTGGACAGGGTCCCACTAAGTTGCTGAGGCTGGCTTTGAACTTGCCACCCTCCTGTCTCAGCCTCCCGAGCTGCTAGGATTACAGACGTGCAGCGCTGTGCCCAGCTCATCCATTCTTTTAAAGGGCAGAACAGGAGACCTGGCCAGGGAGTCCTTCTCAGGTGCCTGGATGCTCCCTGCTCCCCCCACGCCTCCTCCTCAAGGCCTGCTCCATCCTGGTGCCAGGCTGCCCTCGCCAGGTAGCCAGGAGCAAGCTCCCCTTAGGTGAACTTTGCAGCCCTGTGACCCTGCTGCCTCTGCCTCGGAACACCAGGCCCTGGGTGCCTCGTCATTTAGCATTTCAGGGTGATACGTTTTCGAGCAAGGCTTGATGGTGACGTGACCCCACTTCCAGGGTTCACAATCCCTGAGGTCAGGCACCACCTTCTCTGTGATCATGACTCTAGGACGTCATAAAGAGAGCTCTGAACTCCAAGTCCAAGAACCTGGGGTCCAAACCAGACTCTGTGTGGCCTTGGACCTCAGCACCGTCCTCTATGGGAGGAGACTTCCGTGACTATTCCACAGTCTTCCATGAGACGTCCACGCCAAGCTCTCGGTATAGAGTTAGCGTGGAGCTGTAGCTAGGACCAGGACCCTTGTGGGGTTACTATGGACTGGACAGGACTCAGTGGTTCCAAATCTGGCTCCAGAGGGCTCCCTGAGGAAGAGGTAACCCTTCTCTGCCTCTGAATCCCATCTGAGTCCCTGTCCGAATCCTCAGAACCTGGGAATATGCCCCTTACAAGGCAAAGGGACTATGCAGATGTGATCCCAGTGTAATCACGAGGGAGCTTGAAAGGAGGGAGGCAGGAGGGTCCGAATCAGAGAAGATTTGCCCACAGAAGCAGAGGTCAGAGTGATGTGGGACTTGAGCCAATGTGGAAGCTGAAAAGTGCAGGGGACAAATTCCCCTAGAGCCAGGATCAAAGCCCTGTTGACATGATTTAGCCCCGTAAGACCTACTTTGGCCTTCTGACTTTCAGAACTATAAGAGAATAAATACGTACTGTTTTAAGCCCCTAAATATGTGGTGATTTGTTACAGCAGCAATAGGAGACTAATACTAGCCCATTCTGTCCCATGAGTGCTAGCCACTCTCACGTGTGTTAGAATTATTGAGCAGAGAATCTCCTCCTCGTCTGGAATGATGATCCTTTACCACCAAAAGGTGGATTTCTGTCCCCACTACAAGGTCTAACTCATGGCTTTGCACACCGTAAGTGCCCTATCCATGTTGGCTGAGTGGGCGCAGGCAGGAAGAACTTGGACTTCATTCAGCACCCATTCATTGCATTCACTGTGTGGCAGTCACTGGGCCAGGTACTCAGAATGCAGAACTGAGTCAGCTGAGCCCTGCCCTGGATGAGAGCAGGCGGTGAGCGAGAGAAAAACAGGCGCCCAGTCCGTCCCAGCACAATGGCATTGTGCTGTGATAAAGCTATGTGTGTACAGGCACCTTGGGAGGACTGGCCAAGGAGCGACTCATACACACCAGGCTGCTGAGGACAGTTTCAGAGGGAGGGACAACAAAGCCGGGTTTCGAAGCCAGGGTGGGGCTTTGCCAGACTGAGAAGAAATGGTCCAGGCAGAGGCGGGAACATGCCTGGTGTGTTTGGGAAGCACCAGAGACTCACAGCTGGGTCAGCATTTCTAGGTGG